CTATCGAAGGGAAGATGGCTGTGAAACTCATTAGAATAACAATATAACTCAATAACTCATTATCTATGTTGGTCAACGTTTATTCATAAATCTGGTCCTTCACCGTCACGTGTGTATATATTGTATTTTTGCCCAACTAACCAATAGGAATGTTTTAGGAAAGTCACCTATCCGTGACTCGAACAATAGGGAAACTGGAAATTGCTATTGGTGGATTTGGTAAAATACAATACACACGTGACGGTGAAAGGACCAGACTTTAATATGAATAAACGTTGACTAACATAGATAATGAGTTATATTTTTATTCAGCTTATTCTAATGAGTTCCACAGCCATCTTCCCTTCGACAGGCTATGTATAGACTAAAGCATTGAATTTTATTAACCTGTACCTGAAATAACCTGACCAGCATCGCATTTTTCTTTACCAAGGCGATTGATACTATTGTCACCGGATATGGATTCTGCCATACCTAGATAAGTAAATTTTTGTCAAGAGATGAACTGGAAGACCACATTAAAGATAATAAAGAGATACATAACAGCAGCACCTGAAGGAAAATGGTATCCCCTTAATACCATCTCGGAGAATGTTGCTCAAGAACGCGCAAGGTCACGCAACGCTTGTTGTGTATGGTCTTCTAGCTTTACATGAGACCAACCGGGAATTCCTGCTAAATGAAAAGAGAGCCAGGAGCAAAGCTGCGTATTTCCCAGCAGCGTATGTATGGAGGAATTCAAAAATAGGGCTTTTCCACCAGAAAACTCACTGACATTGATGAAATTTTCCAAAACTGTCTTGGATTACTCATACGTCGTATACCGACGTGACTTTCACGATAATTTCTTTGAACGGCAATGGCATGCAGGTAAAAGTAGTTGCATTATCAGTGGTACTCGAGGCAGCTTTCTTTCTGATTCTCTTCTCATTCAGCAGCAGTTTCCGGTAGTTTTTGATAGCAGCAACAATATTTAGAGAGTTTGAGCAAGACAACGAAGTACGAAGACGAAGGCATACTTGACAATTTTTGCCGTCTGCACATTATCTTGCGCACACTTGGACGTCACTGGTGGTTGCTCAACGTGTCTTCCCATGTGTTGTTGTTTATGATACTGACCATAATTCTTGTCCTTATCCAGAAAAAAACAGCGAGACATGAAACTATATCCCGTCTTTGTCCTTCTGCCTTCGTGCAGAACGAAGTTCACAACGAATTTTGCCAAAATATTCGTTATGAACGAAGGCAGAAGAACGAAGACGGGATATGGATTCATGTCTCGCTGTTTTATCCTGATCAGGGTAAGGATTTGAGTCAGCATTCACAAACAGCTAGACATGAATCTCTAATCTGTCTTCACTCCTGACCCTAAACTCAGAATGCGCAACACAATGTGCAAGACAGGCAAAAATTGTCAACCACATCGTCGTCGTCCGACTTCGTTCTCTTGCTCAAACTCTCTAATGTGCGGTGCGTGGTAAGAAAAATGGTAAACCATCACCTTACAACCTTTATAACACTATAGGGCAAACATACGTTAACGTGAAATAACGTTGTTGGGCATTCGCTTCACTGACACTGAGTCACGTTGGTATGGTCTAATAGAAAGAAAAGTTCTGGCGGTAGCGAATGCCAGATATTTTGCCTTTTATTTACATGCACTGATCTTACAATCAGGGCTGACCACAAGTCGTTCTTGTAGTGTTTGATAACCCTCCAACCACAATTGTCGGGACTGCAGCGCTTCAGTGTCAATCGTGAGGCCCTGGGACCGAGGATGCAGCGCTTCCCCGAAAATAACAAACTCGTACCCAGGGTCTTTCCTCTTGGCGAGGGGAGAAAAGACCCTGGTAGACGCTGGTCACGTGATCTGCTAAAATATAGCAGATTTTTAATTAGCAATCGAAGATAAGGTCAATGAATATTTGATATTTGGATGATTTTTATAGTTTGTTTTGTAATTTGCATTTTGTATGATTGTCGTAAAGGTATCCAAAATAGTTAACTGCAAAATGCTGTACTGTACCGTACCGTACCGTGCCGTACCGTACTGTACTGAAAGAAGGTATATCCTTGTCCTTTATCGCAATGTTCATACTGCGCATGTTCTGCTAACTCTGCAGCTGTTCTTGTAGGTAAGATTTCTTTCGCACCTGGATTTATGGTAAGAAATCTTTCGCACCTGGTCTTTAGTACTTCATGCTTCTTGCTTGGCACAGATGGTCGTTCTAAAAGGTTGAGTATTCAGTGACGGCCGTTTGCTGTGATTTACATGAAGCACTTCGTACTCTTCCATTGGGTTCCTTGAACAATTCTGCGATAAAGCTAGAGCCAATACTGACTCTATTTACTATAGATGATCTCTCATATATACAGTACTTCCTCATACATTCTTTCCAAACTGCTTCCTTACTTCTGCTGTACATACCTTGCGCGTTTCTTGAATCACTTTTTGTATCAGAAAGAACATATCACTCACTAGTTTTCCTCTGCAAATCCACGTCAAATACGATATCCATGAGTTCACTTTAGGTTCGACCTTCCTATTACCTTGAATAAAGATTGCTTCATGGAACCACAATAAGTATTCCACAATGACCTCCCACATGTGATTAAACTTCACACTTTATGGTCAAAATATGGAATAGCGAAGAAAAAAGCGCGGGTATTGCCCCTGCTAATTTGCCCTGCTGCACGCGCCACATTTGGTGGAGCTCCCTCGCATAATTTCCCGACGTTTTTCAAATGTGCGAATGAGCCATGCAGAGTTGAGTTCAAGGTAACTTTTCTCTTTCTGCACCTAGCAATAATGAGTTCGAGATCATCTAGCAAAGTTCAAAAGAACGATCAGAAAATCGCCTCAAATACAGCAAACGTCGATGCTCGGATACCAGTGGTCGAGGAGCAAATTACGGCTCTAAAAATCTTCGTACACAGAGATGCCGGAACTACGAATGCAAGTGCATCCTTTGCATGTTGTATTCACAACTTTCTGGGTGCAATGCGGGTGGAGACTATGGAATGTAGGTGCAGATTTACTGCAGAAGATTTAGCACGAACGGATTTAACAAGAACAGAATATATTCATAAATGCTGCAGAAAACCCCCTCCTTGTTCAGTTTTCTTTGCCCCATTTCCGTGAAACCTCACATGAAACTATATCCTGGTTATGCCTCCGAATAAATTAAGTAGTGTTTCGTTAACAATGATTTCAGCAAGCACGTCAATTTACTTCGTTTTGAAAAAAATATCGATAGCATGTCGCTAAAATTTCTGGAAAAGTTTGGCGAAAAACAAAAAATAGTGAAAAAGTATTCCAAAAATTCTTGGAAAAATAATAATTTAATATTTATAATGCCCTGTTTAATTACATGAAATGATTAAAAGCGCAGTACATACAATAAAATACAGTGATTTGCCCTCTAACCCCTGGTCTTGGCTACTTTAATATATAATATATTGCTTTTTCTCAGTTCCACTCATGGTAAGAATCGATTCTTTACAGGCTTAAGGCCTTAAGCTCACAGCTCACTAGTCGCTGCGAGTAATAACTGTGCTTGATATATGATTTGTGCTATTTACTGTAGTTCTAACTTCTATTTGCTTTTAATGCCCGCAGCAATCCCTAACTTGCAGGCACCCTAGTATTTACTGATAGATGTGTGATCAGCAAAAAGGCAACGTGGTCGAATGGTCGTGTTCTAGATCTGTGACCTTCTGTGACCATAGAAATAATAGACATAGAATGCGTGCTCCTATATCTTTTCTCAGTAAAAATTTTGTCTCCACAAAATGGCGGATTTATAAGGGCATTTTCGCTAGTCCCAGACTCCTGCAGCAAGGAATTTCGCGCGGTTGCAGGGAGTGCGAATTGTTTTTTTCAACAAAGTTTGCAAAAACAATTATATCGAGACTTGAAGCAAGGGAGCACGCCAGAAATACTTGTGTAAATTTATACTAACCTTTTAATTACATGTAAATGTTTTCAATTTTCATCGGCCGCCATTTTAAATGTTAAAAGCGGTATTAGCGTATCGCAGGCGCAATAATTTATGTTCATCTTTGACATTAATTTATGTTACACGATGATACTCCGAAGGGCGACCGAGAAAGATCCGAAATTTAAAATAAGGCGGAGAAATAATAAAAAATAAAGAGGGGAGTGAAACGGCCGAACACGTGATGGGGTATTGGCCAATGACAATGCGTATATCCAATTTCGTTATCTGCCCATGCTCGTTGACCAAGAACTGTCGAATCTGAAATATATCAAAACTTGTATTGATAATTGATTTGCATCCAGTGCTCTCACTTTTAAGGAATTATCCTTAAAAATAGGAATTTTGAAGAGTTTTAAGGATTTTTTTAAGGAATTTAGGTTTTTGAGGATTTTTTTAAGGAATTTCCGAAACATTTTATCCTGGACTAAAAACGTTGGACAGAGGATAACCACGCCACGCAAATGAGATCTAAACTTGAAAGTAGCAACATTATACGCATATAATTACATTTAGTATAATTACATAGGTGATTATTGAAAGTTCTCCACGCTGATTGGTTGCCGTTGAGGTGATTATTACGCGATAATCACCTAAGCGATTTTCAAAATGGCGGCCGAAGCCATTTTGTCAATTAAATGACAAAGAAATGTGTATTTTCTTATTTTTTTCCAAATAATCACCTATGAAATTATACTAAAACAATTATTCACCTCAGGCTCGGTGATTATCGTGAATAAAAACCTCGACTTCGTCTCGGTTTTTATTCACCGATAATCACCTCGCCTTCGGCGAATAATTGTTAAATATTCGTATGTTCTCTATGTCATAAATGTTCGGGCCATGTTCCAGTACCAATTTGGTTCCAGTACCAATTTGGTTCCAGTACCAAATAACACAAATCACACTCATATAACGTAATTGTCATCATAATATAATAGTATATGTTTCTGTACATGGCTTGGCATGTGATTTATAACAAAACTTAAAACAGTGTTTTGAAACCCTAGTTTTTCACAAAATGTGTTCTCAGAACGCTGCAAATGCCATTTCCGGGATTCAAATTTTAAAAATTTTCTGTGCCTTCGGCACGAGCCCCCCCCCCCCCAGTATTTCGTAAAGTGTCCGCCACTGGTCTTTTCATTAAAATTCTCAAAAGTTAAATGTCAGTATATGCTGTTTCTTCTGAAATCTACAGATTTTTTAAGCTCTTCATGCAGCAACGATAAAAAATACATCATGTTGAATGTTTTCTTTATGGCATTACGCTAACAATCAAATGTTTTCAATTTTTAGTGCTTATAGAAACAAGGTTATAAAAACTGAAAAACAGAAAAAAGGAGGGAAAAAACACTTTTTGCAACTGTGTGACCAGGCCTTCTGGTAATTTTACCAATTTAAGGAATTTTAAGGAAATCTGAGGAATTTTCGAGCTCTTTCTAAGGAATTCGAAAATTTGATTGTGAGAGCACTGGTCATGATATTACTCAATACGTACGTCCAGAGTTGACTTCAGGCAGGCTAGGCTACGTCTAGAATAGATCAAGCCATCACTGATCAGAAATAGCTAGTTGATTGAATTGAAATGAAAACGTAATATGGTTGTTGAAGGAATGGAACCCGAGGTACGTGTTTAATTACATACATATTAAAAGCACTATTTATAAGACTTTGCTTTCAACTGAGTTTCAAGTATCGTGATTAAGAAGTCTTTATAGAACCTTTAATATTTGTGTCACATTTACTGATCTGTACATCAATGATATCATGATATCACAAATAAGGCAATGAAACATGGTACTTGCATGTGTAGCTTAAAGCCGGCAGCTTCGTAATACATTTTCTCACCTTGTTCTATATTAGGTAGAAACTATAGTCTCTCTCTGATTATATAATCTTTTGTATGGTCTGATTCTTTACAGTACTCAATTATTTTAAATATCTGTTCTATGATCTGATCACTACATGCACTCCAAGGAGCTCATGCTTGAGTTTGGTCAAGTTTAATCATCATTTAATAGGCAAGAATCATACTTTGACCTAAATGTCATGTTGCTATTAAATAACGTGATATATTACTAATTAGATTACAACATTTTGCACCTAAACATGCCTGCTTTTGATGAATTTTACTCAACTAACAGAAATCAGAAATACTGTATCAGATGACATTATCAAAATAGGGGATCATCCATTTAGTGTATATATATATATATATATATATATATATATATATATATATATATATATATATATATATATATATATATATATATATATATATATATATTGATATTAAACTTATTGAATCAATATGTTAAGTTTCAGGCCAGTTGGACCAAAATTTATAAGCGCTTGCACACCACAAAGGCGGATATCGATTTCCATTCAGTGCAATATGTCGTGCGATCGACATTTTGCGATCACTTTCTTTTGAAATACAAGCAGTCAAATGCAACGGATCAGGTT